CTTGGGTATATTTTATGACTGGGATTCAGCTTTTATTTAATTTCTCTTCTTAAAAAATATGTTGTTTTTGGTTAAGATGAGCATAACTTAGTTTTACATAACTAAAAGTAAACAGACACCAGTGGGTTTTCCTGGAAAGGGCCCAGAACTCGGGCATGGCTAGACGCTGGTTCTCGTTGGTTCCAGGCTGGAGAGCCCCCAAAACCAGCCCTGAGAGATGGGTGTTTAATGTGACCTGAGATCTCCAGCCTCCACCATTTAGTGGCTTGGCTCGTTTCTGGCTACGTGGCCTTGGGAATTCCCTTCCTCCATGTGGTCCTTGTGCCTTGTCAATAATGGTGTAATAAAACTATAAAAAATGAATTAGAAGCCTCGGGGGCAAGTATTAATAGCTAGAAAGCTTGAGAATGCCACAGAAATATAAATCATGGTGCATTGAGTGTGTATCTTCCATGTATTTTTCATCCACAGAGACTCAGGAAGGGGAAGGTGGACAAGGTTTAGCATGTTTTAAACCTTCTATGCTCCTCCTACAGGGCTATGGCTCGCAGTATGAGAGAGGAATTTACATTTTTTGAATGCCTTCCCATTTAATTCACTTAATTTAATTTGCAGAGCACACCATGTGCCTTAGGAAGGTGCAGAAACTGAGATCCAGGTTCTGTGGGTTCTTCCTTCAGGTTACATGTGTGGCCTGAGATCACACAGGTGGTTTGTAAAAACAAATCGATGCTAAGATGCCATTCATCTGTCAGCCCCATGTGCAGTGGTTCTCAGCCCAGGGAGATTTTGCCCCCAAGGGGACGTTTGGCAATGTTTGGAGATGGTTATGATTGTCACTGCTTGGGTGTCACTGACAATGGGTAGAGATCAAGGGTGCTGCTGAACATCCTGCAATGCACAGGACAGCCCCCCCTAACATTTCAAGCATTGTCCAAAATACGAATAGTGCCGAGGTTTAGAAACCCTGTGCTATGGGCGCAGTGGCTCATGCCTGTAATCCCAGCACTTTGGAAGGCCAAGGCAAGTGGATCATCTGCGGTCAGGAGTTCGAGACCAGCCTGGCCAACATAGCAAAACCCTGTCTCTACTAAAAATATGAAAATTAGCTGGGCATGGTGGTGGGCACCTGTAATCCCAGCTACTTGGGAGGCTGAGGCAGGAGAATCGCTTGAAACCAGAAGGCAGAGGTTGCAGTGAGCTGAGATGGCGCCACTGCATTCCAGCCTGGTGACAGAACAAGACTCTGTCTTAAAAAAGAAAACAAAAGAAAAGAAAAGAAACCCCGCACTAAACAATTGCAGAAGTAGTGGAGCGGGAACGTCTCTTACTCTGTCTGGGCTGTGTATGTGTTTCTAAGAGAAATGCTTCACTGGAGGTCTGAGTGTGCTAGGGCCCGGTTACTCAAACTGTTGTCCCTGGATCAGCAGCAGCCTGGAGCATGTTAGAAACGCAGGCCTCTCCCTGGACTTAGACTTCCAGAACCTGCATTTTAACAAGCTCCCACATGATTCATGTGCTTGTTAAAGTTCGAGGAGGGCAGGGTCTGATTCATTCCAGGCTGAACAGCCCGCAAACCAGCCCTGAGAGATGGGCATTTAACTTGTCCTTAGCTCTCACCAGGGCTAAGACCCATGCCAGGGCTTCAGGGACTGGCAGGCTCCCTTGAATCTGCCCTGCTCCCCCTCCTTTGATTGTCACGTGAGCCCTGGTGGTTGGGGAGGAAGAGCGCATCTGAACTGGCTTATGATAACCTTTCCCGCTTTCCTCCCTGCCTCATCCCCTCCCCAGGCCTACATCCTGCTGGGACAATTCCTTCTGATGCACAAGAATGAAGCCGAGTTTCAGAGGTGGCTCATCTGCTGTTGTGGTGCCACTGAGTATGAGGCCCAGCAGAGTTCTAACTGCCTCAAGGAGTGGTGCGCCTGCTTCCTGTAGACACAAACCTCATCGCTGCCTCCCACCCCCTGGGGAAAATGACGCCCTCTCCACCTATGCCCAGGCTCTGAGTCCTCATTTGTGTTTTTAATTGTAATGATACACTCCCATTATACACAGTGGGTCAAGAACAGAACACAGGACAAATGCAAGAGAAATGACTCCCAAACCCACCACCCAGAAACCGTAGTCACACCCTTTAGATGAATATCGTGTCAAATATCTTTCAGCAAAAAATCTGTATGAAAAAATGGATAATTTTATTTAAAAACAGGAATTGAATTTTAAGTCAGTGTATTAGTGATCTATTGCTGCATAACAAATAATCCCAACATATAGCAGCTTCTCAAAACAAACAATGATGCTACCTCACAGGGTTTCTGAGGGTCAGGAACCTGAGAGTTGTCAGGAACCTGCCAGCTGGTTCTGTCTCAGGGTCTCTCATGAGGTTACTCACTGTTGGCCCGGCAGCAGTCTGAAGGCTGGACCAGGGCTGGAAGACCCACCTCCAAGATGGCTGCCTCGCATGGCTGCTGGCAAGATATCTTGGTTCCTCACCACGTGGGCCTTCCCATCGGGCTGCTCATGGCATGGCATCTGGCTTCCCCCAAAGCTGGTAACTCGAGAGAGAGAGAGAGCAAGCAGGAAGCCACGGTGCCTTTTATGACCTTGTCTCTGACACATGCAGTATACTCACTTCTGCCTTATTCTATTTGTTAGAAGCAAGTCACTAAGTCCTCAAGGGAGGATAATGAAACATTCTTCAAATAATATGCATGCACATTTTTAAAATCACAGTTTCTTGAGGCCTCATTTACATATAGTAAAACTTACCCTTTTCAGGTGTGCATTCTATAAATTTTGACAAATTCACCACCATAATCAAGATGTAAGACACTGTCATTACCCCAGGAAGTTCCCTTGTGCCTCTCTGTAGTCATCGCTTCTCCCTTCCCAGCCCCTGGCAACCATGAATCTGTTTTCCATCCTTACAGCTTAGATTTTTCCAGGAAGTCATATAGATGGAATCGTATAATATGTAACCTTTTCAGGTGGGCTTCTTTCACTTAGCTTAATTCATCTGAGATTAGTCTATTATATAGGCTTTTTAAACTCAAAAAAGGTTTATTAGATGCTATCGGTGCCCGGCCCACATCCTTCTGGTATTTGTGTTCTGGTAGAGTCCAGTGACTTCCCCTAGCAAACACCTGAATGCCTTCTGCCTGAGAGTCTCTCTGGCTACAAAAGCGGGATCAGCCCACACATAGGGCGGAGGGAAACTGGCAAGCAGTTGATGCCCAGTAGAGCCCACAGTGATGGGTGAACAATGATGGATAAATGTCCTAGCTTACCCTGCAGATAGGACAAACTCTGAGACAGTCTGTTTGAGCTCCCTAGTGGTATTGAGCCCTAGTTTCCCACAGTGGTCACCTGCTCTTGAACAGCTCATACTTCTTTCCTTCCTTGTCTTATTTCCCTGCTCCACTACCAGTGTTTCCTGGGATCATCCCCCTACTCCTACTCCCTAGAAAATACTCAAATTTTAGATTCAGGTTCTGCTTCTGGGAGAACCCAACCTAAGACAAAAGTGTTGGAATTTAGTTTTATTTTAATGAGAGAAAAAATTGAAACTGAAAGAATTGTTGAAATTTGATGAATTTTTTCTTCATCTCTGAGTGTAGTCATAAATTATTCAATTTCCTTCGAATTTCAGAATAATATTGAGGAAAACAGAGGTTCATATCATTAGGTTTATTTTAAACTCTGGTTTTCAGTGAAAGATCGTGTGATGGCTAATACTGAGTGTCAACTTGATTGGACTGAAGGGTGCAAAGTATTGATCCTGTGTGTGTCTGTGAGGGCATTGCCAAAGGAAATGAACATTTGAGTCAGTGGGCTGGGAAAGGCAGACCCACCCTTAATTTGAGTGGACACCATCTAATCAGCTGCCAGTGAGACTAGAATATAAAGCAGGCAGAAAAATGTGAAAAGACTAGATTGGCCTAGCCTCCCAGCCTACATCCCATGCTGGCTTCGTGCCCTCGAACATCGGATTCCAAGTTCTTCAGTTTTGGGACTCAGACTGGCTCTCCTTGCTCCTCAGCTTGCAGACAGTCTATTGTGGGACCTTGTGATGATGTGAGTTAATAAACTCCCCTTTCTGTCCCTCTAGAGAACGCTGACTAATACAGATGGTATGAATTCCTGCTATAAAAGTAAAAAGAAATTGATATTCATGATTCTTCTCTACTTTCCTCCCACTTTTATTGGCTTTATTATTACTTTTAATTTGTCAAGGTTTATAGCATTTACATTCTTCCCACAATTGTTTAGTCCTAGTTGTATATCTAAGAGCTTATCACCAATCCTTGTTAGTATCCTTATTTTAAAGATCATATCTTTGTCATTCCTGAATTATTTATTTTGATAATGTCTTTATTGGTTGACTTGCATCAGTGTATCTATCTGTCAGAATAGGCCAGGTTCTGCTTCTGTAACAAACTTTCCCCACGTCTCAGTGATTTATCCAACACAGGTTGACTTCTCTCTCATGCTGTGTGTCCAGTACATGTCATCAGGGAGCTCTGTCTCTTGTAGTCACTCTGAGGCTTTGGTTAATGGAGATACCCTCTCAACACACACTTCCATGATTACCACGGTGGTGGGAAGGAGCCATGCTGAATGACATACTTACTGTCTGTAAAAGCCTCTGTCTCAAAGTAATACATTCTATTTGCACTCACATTTCATTGACCAAAGGAAATCATATGGCCACACCTAACTCCAAAGGGGCAAGGTCCCTTCTGAATGCAGGAGAAGGGGGAACATTTAGTGGCAGCACTAATCAAGATCACTGTCATCAATTAAGTTTATAACATTTTTGCTTGCTAATGTTTTCTTGAAAAAACAGAAACCAACCAAAGGTTATTATTTTCCTCCTGAAAGCCTTGCAAGTGTTATGTTTAAGGTGATAAATATTTCCTAAATTTGTAAAGTGACTGGAATATTTCTACTGGAGTCTGTTAGCTCTTTCTAGCTCTGCTTTTCTTGCTCTCTCCAAGGAGAAACCAAAGAATCAAGAATTCCAGGAGAGCCAGTGTGGCCCAAAGATTAAAATAGCTTCATCTTCTGAGAGCTCTGGGTCTCAACAGCCAGAAGCTTTCCTTTGCTACTTCTTGCATGGCCCACCCTTGGACTAATTCTTCACTGAAATAGTCATGGTATTTAGAGGTCACTAATTTTCTAAGACATAAGCTGGATGGCTCCAGGGAAAGGAAAGAGAGAGGTACCTTCATCTCTCAGTCTATTTCCACATGCCTCCAACATTGCTGAAATTCATCCTTCTAGCTGAGTTGATGTCCAGGATCACGTAGGAGGACCAGGGAGCTGAGAAACCTGGAAGAGATGGGGCTCCCAAGACTGAAAAGCCTTTATAAGATGAACCCTATCACAGATATTGAAGACAAGAGTAGCTGTTCCCTATTTAGTGTAAACATCTTCCCAAAGGCACTAGGAACTTTCCCCATCAGTCTTTCATCCCCTGTGTTGATTTTTGTCATCTTTGCAGATAAAATTATTGGTCTAAATTCTTCCCTTCTCCCTGCATTCCCCATGTTTGTCATGTGACTTTGTAGTTCCTCCCACTAGAGGCAGAGTGTAACTCCCAGCTCCTTGACTTAGACTTGGCCATATGACTTGCTTTGGACAATGGTATGTGGCCAAAGTGGAAGTGTGCCAGTTCTGAGCCCCATCACTCATTTCTACTTGCTCTCTTGTGCCTCCAAGAGGAGAGCTACTCCCTTGTACAACTGTTGCCCCTTCAGCCTGGGCTTCAGAATGAAACCAGGTGAAGCTGACCGGTGCCAACCTGCTGCCGGGACCCAAGGCCAGCCAGCCCTGCAACTTGATGCAAAGCCGCCCAACTGAGCCCAGCCTACATCAGCCAACCCTCAGCCAACTCACAGGTTTGCGAAGGAGAACAAAGGATTGCTATTTAAAGCCAGTGATGTTTGGGACAGTTGGTTATGCAGCAATAGCTAACGGATACATTCTTTATAGTCTAAAATGTCCTTACCCTGCCAAAGTGTGCCACATCGAAGGCCAACCCAACCTTTAAATGGAGAAGTAGCCTAGGGTGGGGTGAAAAACTTTGCTTCTGGAGCCAGCCAGGCGTGGGTGTGAATTCCAGTTCTACCAATCCCTACCTTATCCTGGGTGAGCTACTTCAACCTTGCTGAGCCTCTGTCTCTTCATCTGTAAAATGGGTCAAGAAGGTAACAACCCTGCC